ATTGGAGCGGGAACGCTATTATTAGACATGGATATTTTAGGTAAAAGAGCTTCGATATAATGTCTGGGGGATAGTCGAAAGTGCGTTTTTGGGTGGTGGAGTTCGGGGAAGTGGCAGGCAATCGTGAAGGGGAAGTTTTCATTGAGAAAATAGATTTTTCCAAAGTTCAGCCGGCTGAAATTGTACCGAGACTGGCCTTTGAACTAAGCATTTACATTGGTTGGCGAGAGGTTACTGGTAGAGTAGGTAAGGCGTATGTATTAAAGACGCACTAACGTATTGAGGTCCTCCAAGGCCAACCCTAGTTGAGTCCCCTACGGAGTGAACTATGTTATGATGTGGTGGGGCCGAAGACAATTTCGAGTACGACTTATCCAACATGGCGACAGGAGCCGTCCTTTTGATTTTGGTTGTTGGCATTCTCAGATTTTTAAATTTCTCTGCGTAGATATGAGGCTAGGAGAAAGTGAGCAATGCCACTGACGGCAGAATTCACTTGTTGTCTTCTTCCTCAACAACGTAAAGTCGACTTCTACTAGTGAAAGTAACTAGTATTAGGGCGTTACGGCTGAGGGAGCGCAGCCGTTTGGCGTGCGCGAATCTAGTTCTCAGGCCACAAATACGCAGCTGCGTGACTGAGAATATTATGCGATACAAAATTATGTCTGCATTTTTATCCACTCCTAAGCGTTGGAGTAAACTACCGCAGTGATCTTAGGAGCTCGTTCTATAACTCTCCTGGATGCACTGGTCATACGTCCATACAGCATGGGCGTATTCTTGAGCCAACAAAGGGTCAGGCTGTTCAGCATGGACTGATAGAGTTTTAAAGTTAACCCTATCTCAAGAAGGCTGCAAAGGCATGCGGGTACCCGCTGTGACTGTGGCCATGATTCTAGCACTCAGGGATGGGTGAGGCTGCATTATTACCTGCCAAACAACTTTTCCTCTATTTCCAGAGACCACGTTGTCGATAATTTACAATAGTATGCCTAGTACAGCAAAAACTACGACTTGTTTACTATAGTAAATAGAGAAACACGGTCCAGCACGGCTTCAAAGTGCAAGTTCTGTACAAAATGCAACTAACTTACCAGACTGTTTAATAGGGTGAACAGAAATCGTGCGTGTTAATAAGAAGTACTTTTTTGCAAAAGAATCAATCGAAAATATACACTAATTACCAAGGAGTATCGAAGTAAAAGCGAGGCCTATCTTATCCTTGCAACTTGAGTCGCGCTCCCTAACCATGACAATGCGTAAAACACAAACGAATTCTGCAACCACCAGGTTTGCAGATGTGAGCGCGGCAACAATATGGAGAAGGACCCCACTTTATTATCAGTAGATTGTAGATCGTGTCATAAGTGATTGGCGATGAGTAGAGTTTTACGGGTGGGGCAGTGCACTAGACAATAAGCTAACGAAATGCAGTAGAACGCAGAAATTGTTTAGATTTCTCCTGAAAGACTCATCGTACGTCTTCGTACGCCAACGGAAATGAGCGCGGTAAATAAAAATAAGCAAAAGGTGAATTTCAGAAAATAAAGGAGTTGAGTGATGGTTTGAAGTCATAAGAAGTGATTTTTATTGGCTGTGTAATGTTCGCGAAGGCCTGCGAATGACTGTCAGGACAGAACCCCCTATGATGCGATCAACAGTCTGACATCAGCTAAGTGGGGTCCTTCTCCATATCGTTGCCGTGAACGCTACTCAGTTAGTCCGGAGAGGTTACTAGCACTTAACTCGCGTATCTGCATGAATGCTGGGAGTATCTGAGAAGTCCCTTCCAACGATCGTCCCAACTAAATTGTCATTCGAAAACAGTGGCAGCCGATCGTGGGAACCCAATGTTATGAACCGGCCTAGTATTTGAAATTACGTGGAGCGTATGCGCATTCGGCTCTTGCCCCCAATACCAACGCGGCAGAGATGGATTACACGACCGGCCACGAAAAAATGTATTAGGAAACTTCAAGTCAAGTCTAACTGGAAAAGTAACGCGTTTTTATAACATCCTACTGGGATTCGCCTGCATTCGGCCCAGTGCACTTCGTGAAGGAAAGTCTACACGAGCCGATCGATTAATCACATACACGAATCAGTCAGGCTGGAGGGGCGCAGCCAATGGCGAGCCGCCACGATCATGCTGACAGCGCGCTAGAGAAAACGCACGTGATCTCCAGTGACTGGTTGGCTCTTATGTTTGGGAGTGTAGGCCATCTCAACACCTCCCTCCAAGTAGGTCAGTACTGCTTTTGGCGTGGATTGACCTGTATCGTCATCGTTGATCGGCGCGTGCTGTTTGTCCCGCTTCTTATTCGTAGTATATTGTCTGGAGGCACGGTGGCAGTGACTGATACCGAAGGCGGTAGACCCGAAGGGGGCGCAGCAGTGGGTTTGAGGACTTGCCGATGAGACGGAATGGCGAAAGTATCCAGTCAAGAAGGAGTGACGGCACCGGCTCGAGCCCGATTATGTTACTTCAAGGCCGCCGTCGGATCTAATTGTGGTGACGAACCCAGATGCCATCACCAACATCGTCATCAAATAACATACTGCCCCTGTGAACTACTACGGTTGCCTCAGTCCAGTCTGGGAACCCAGTTCGATAATCCCGAACGAAGGCAGGTGTTCCGACGGAAAGCTTGTTGCGAGAGACAGGCGAGGTTGTCTGCGCGGATTGAATACCGGTGGGAACGAGTGTATGAAACGTTGTACGCAGTTTTCGGTCCATCAATGTTTCGGCAGGAGAAACGCCACCAGGAGACGACGCGCTCGGCGTTGCCCTGTAGGAAAACAGGAACGCCTAAACTATATTGTCCATAGTCCCCTTCTAATGAACGTTCAAGAGGGCTCTCTTAGACGTGTCGACAAAACGCTTCGCCTGACCGTTAGACTGAGTATGGTAGGGCGGGGAGCGAAGATGCTGGATGCTGCGTTGGCGACAGAAATCCTCAAACGCCGATTAAGTAAGCTGAGGACAGTATTTGAATCCAGCGCTTCCAGTAGGCCATATTGGCTAAATACACGTCATAGGAAAGCGATAGTGGCAGATGTGATCGCTGAATTCAGCGGGGCAGTCTCTGGCCAATCTGACACAATCTTACAACGACACTTCAATGCGGTCAAGCAATTTGCTGGTCGAATTCTAGATGACGTTGCCCATCCCCTACATTCCGATCTTATGGCTGCCAAGTCTTCCCGCCCGATGCGCCGCAACTTCCGTCTTATACCCTGTCGCACATCGGCTTATCGAGCCTCTGTATTGCCATTCCTGGCGCGCTATCTTACGTGCGAAGAGACAGAAATACAGAAGCTCAGACTTGAACTATCCCCATAATAATCGTTTCTTTGACTGTTGAATAATCTCTTAACTTATTTACTACCCACAGTGAATGGAGCCAATTTTTTGCTGAAAATTTTGAACTTACGATTTCAAAATAAAGCGCATTTCCTCTCTCTCTCTCTCTCTCTCTCTCTCTCTCTCTCTCTCTCTCGAGTAGGTCTCAGCCAAGATTAGATATGTGACTCCGTTAAGTGGGCCAGTGAAGTAGATATGCACGTGTGACCAAGGTCCCTCTGGTGGTTGTCAGGGCATTGGTGATTAGCGGGCTACATATTGGCGGCTTGTTGACACCGCGAACAGCGTCGAACCAGGTCGTCGATGTCCTTGCCGATACCCGACCAGTAAGCAAAACTGAGAGTAACTGACTACATTTGACTTGTACCAGGATGTGTCACGTGAAACTGGCGTAGTACAGCTCGGCGCAGGAAGATCCGGTGAAGATCGCCAGCGAGAGCAGTGACTGGCCAACAGGTCTGCACGTAGGTGATGGCCTGACGGAGGACAGAATCCTGCTGAGAAGCACGTCGGAGGTCCGCGACAGTGACAGAGATACCTCGTAAGGCGTCGGATAGCTGACGGCGCACATCGTCCTCAATCGAAATAGTGACAATCACAGTGTCTTCCTCAGGTTCCTGCTGATTGCAGATGAGGTGTGTAAGGGCGTCAGCCTGACTAAAGTCGGTAGTGCGACAGCAGCGAATGTCGAAATCGTAGCCAAGAATGATGATTGTCCATCCCTGAAGGCGGTTCGCTGGATAGACGGGAATTCCTTACTTCAATCCAAAGATTGACAGAAATGGCTTGTGATTCGTCAAAAACGTGAAGTTACGACCGTACAGCACCTCATCATTACCATCACCACCAAAACAACGCCCCCACTGCGTCAGTCAGCAGCTAATTCTTCTATCAACCTCTTTCCGCCTGTCAGCACTGTGAACTCACATCCCTAAGTTAACCGACTTCGATGAAAACTGCCGTGCCAGCTTTTTAAAAACAAACCAATGCCATCGGCGTAAGCGGGTCATCCCTGCTTAAAACGATTATAAGAGGCAATCATATAATTTAACCAAACCGACTAGTTTATCATACATTGTCTGCCGTTTAAATCTACGACCAATTTAGCGATGGGTTCGTCATGACAGGAGTGAAAGTGGAGTTCATGCAAGCCGTTTCAAGCTATCATTTGGGCAGTCTTGGCGCCAGGCACAACGTTACCTCCGAACTTTTCTACCCACCTGATGCTCAGTTATAATAATGTCTAGTTATATTTTGTTACTAGAAAATGGGGAAACTCTGGCCTGTCCTTACTTTCAACATACTTAATAATAAGAAGGATTCAGATACTTCCGCGACCACTTTAACTCCAAGAAGCAAAACCCATCGACCACCCAAAATACAAATGCAATCCGTCAAAGATGTTCATTGTTGACCAGGCGGGAAGACTTTCGCTATAAAATGCAAAGACGTGAGCAACATCGACTTCTCTTCGCACGCCAGTCACGTACTAATAACAAGAACAGCGCAAATGTCCCTGGCGCAGCTGTTTGTTTGTCATAAGTCTCCCGTATATTAAAGTCGCTGCATGGCAGGTCCCTCCTGCACAACAGAACCAGGTAGGAGATAGGCGTAAATTACACTCACTGACCTCTCTGCTAGAGGGGTTACCCGAGAGTCTAACTGCTGCATATCCGGCGCGTATACAGGTGTGACTCGCGCCATCGTCCGACCGTGGTGCTGACGCACCGTGTGCGGGAATCTCCCAGGACGGCCGAATTCCCGCGTGGTTTTCCAGCTCCCGTTGCAGGTTATCGTATCAAAGGCTTTCAACAGCTCCAAAAAGGTAATGTAGAAGTGAGTCCACATTTGCTGACATTTCTCTTGTAGCTGAAGGGAGGAGCAAACCAGATCGCTGGTTCCGCGAAAGCCACACTGGCTTTCAGGGAGAGGTCCCTATTCGAAAGGACAGTTGAGGGGGTTGAGGAAGATGTGAATAAGTGCCTCACTGGTAATCCTGAGCAGCGAGAATTCTCTATTGGTATCATAGAGTTGACGGTACACTTTCGTCCGTGGAGATGGACGATTATCGCGTCCTTGAAATCCTGAAGAGCTCGCCTTTGCCGCCACATCTCCTAGAATTCATTTGTAATTTAGGCTATCAACCTGAAGACGCTGAGTTTGTAAACTTCGACTGAGATCGGAATGGATACCGGTGCTTTCCTGCCGGCGTGTTGATGTGCCGGTTTGATAGTTTTTTTTGCAGAGAAGGCGAGAGACCTAGGTCGTTGCTCGCTCCCACTTGGACGAGCCGGTAGATGGCGCCGTCGGAGATCGTAAAATGGGCGGCTGGAGACACTTTTGACGCCCTCGGCCCAGCACATCAGGGTCTGTGATCTCTCCGTCAATAATGTTGTTCCACCGGAGCTGAGAAGCCGCGTAGTTCCTTTGGTCGTGGTGCCGTAGACCGCCTTGATTGACGGGAAGAAGTTTTTTTCATTTCGGTCCGTATGCCCCTGTATTGCTTTGGCCTTTCTAGTCATCCAGGTGCCCTGCCTCTCTCGCAACCTTCTGTGTACGAGGCGGCGACACATGAAGAATACCGAGTTGCTTACGTAAGTCCGAGGTCAATGTAGGTTTGTCCAGTCTGTGGATTTCGGCGAGCAGATTGTTGATACTAGCATTGTTTTAATCGGAAAAGCCTTAGTGCTGTTGACGTGCGCATCCGAAAACACTGAAGACACTGGACTTGATAGCATTCCTCAGCTGAAACTACGATTCTCCGCAGTAGCGTCTTCATCTGGAGTTTGTTAATATTCAAACTGATTGGTCAGTTAATTGCTGAAATAAAAGCGGCAAGCGGACAGATTTGTCAGAGCAGTACTCAGCTTGTCTTGTGGTCGCTTTTTCCACGGTCTCCTATGCGGCTGCAGACGGAGCCTCATATAAGAGATTAAGTGACGGTGGACAGCCTAGCCGTCGGCGTCGCTAATGGCATTCGTCGCCAACACGTCGTATTGATGTCGTTCCGCACGAGAACATAGTCCAGCAGATGTCAGCGCCGCCATCGGAGGTGCATCTAGGTCGACATTTTCCGCATCAGAAAGCGGAAGAAAGTGCTGACTAACAGGAGCCGGTATTCTACTCGGGTACATAGCGTAAGAAAGCCGTTCTAGTTGCAGCCGGTTATGCCATGGAGACTCAGTATTCCCTCCAGACGGCATTGCTGTCTCAACACGGGAACTGGACTCGCTAAGGACGATCAGGTTGTCTGCCTTCGGTACAGTCCTCGTAGTATTTGTTTTTTTCTGTCGGCGGCGCTGGTCATTGAGGGGGGCAGGCGCTTGCGATCGTGACAGAGTTGGTTCCCCAAATGGTCAGGAGCAGGCTTATGCGGCGGTCGCTGATACCTGGCGGGAGACAGGACAGTCGTCCCATGAGACAATTCTGAATGGTAAAGACAACGAAGACGTTGAGTCGCTCTGCATTTGAGTAGCCGCCACAGACGTATGTGTAGCCGACACCCATCTCTGCCCATCGCCATTGTCCGGAGCCGCGAGTTTGACTTAAAAAAGCTATATTCGGCTGGTAGCGCGCAGGCCCTTGGGTGAATAGGGCTGTCCTCCGCTCGGGCCGGTTAATTCTCGGACTGTCTAAAAGGGAACAAGAATTGCAGAATGCCCGAGTGGGTAGACCCACTCTGTCAGCATGTGGGATGGGGCGAGAAGCAGGGGTGCTTTTTGCTGTCAATAGTTTTGTTCCGACCGAAAACTTTTTATCTACGCGCACGGTATACTTGCAGATGGCGCGATTTCCCACCAGCTGTTTCGAAAATATTTTTGTGGTCTTTCCTACCGCAGACCCGTAGGCAGTGCTATCCCTAGATAGGACTGCTGATACATCCCCGAGGGCCACTGGACTTCACCAACTCGGTCATAATACAAGTGGCCGTAAGGATTCAGCTTCTCAGTCTAATGCTCCCCAACTCGGTCATAATAAAAGTGGCCGTAAGGATTCAGCTTCTCAGTCTAATGCTCCCCAACTCGGTCATAATACAAGTGGCCGTAAGGATTCAGCTTCTCCTACTCCTGCGACATCTGACTCCCTCCTTCCTCTTTCTCCGACATCTCCATCTCACTCG